TATTGAATGCTGCATATTTTTTTACCTGCTTTGTCAAAGATCAGATGGCTGTATATATATATATATATGATTTTGTTTCTGAACTGTCTAATCTATTTCATTGATCTATGTGTCTGCTTTTATGCCAGCATTATGCTGTTTTGGCTACTATAGAATTATATTATATTATCTTATATTATAGCATAATTTGAAGTCAGGTAATGCGATACCTCCAGTTTTATTCTTTTTCTTAGCATTGCTTTAGCTATTTGACCCCATTTTTGGTTCCATATAAATTTTATAATTATTTTTTCTAATTCTGTCAAAAATTACATTGGTATTTTGTTATAAATTACAGTAAATCTATGGATTGCTCTGGGTAGTATGGCCATTTTAACAATATTGATTCTTCTGATGCATGAGCATGAAATGTTTTTCCATTTGTTTGTGTTTTCTATAATTTCCTTCATCAGTGACTTTCAGTTCTCCTTGGAAAGATCTTTCATCTGCTTGGTTAAACTTACTCTCAAGTATTTTATTTATTTATTAATTTATTTACTTATTTTTTTTTTCAGCTATTGTAAATGGGATTGAGTTCTTGATTTGCTCCTCAAGCGGTCATTGGTGGATAGAAATGCTATTGATTTTTGCATGTTGGTTTTATAACCTGAGGCTTTGCTGAATTCATTTTTCAAATCCAGGAGTCTTTTGGAGGAATCATTAGTGTTTTCTAGGCATATCATATAATTAGTAAACAGAGACAATTTAACTCACTCTTTTCAAATTTGGATGCTTTTTATATTTCTTTATCTTGAATGCTTTAAGACTTCTAGTACTATGTTGAATAGAAGTGGTGATAGTGGGCATCTTTGTCTTGTTCCAGTTCTTAGGAGGGATGTTTTCAACTTTATCCCATCCAGTCTGATGTTGACTATGGATCTGCCATATATGGCTTTTATTATTTTGAGGTATGTTCCTTCTGTGCTGAGGCTTTTGAGGATTATTTTCATGAAGGGGAGCTAGATTTAATGAAATTCTTTTTCTGCATCTCTTAAGATCATCATCTGGTTTTTGTTTTTAACTGTTTATGTGGAATCACATTTATTGACTTGTGGGTGTTGAACCATCCTTGCATCCCTTGGATGAAACCCACTTGATCATGAATTATTTTTTCATATGCTACTGGATTCAATTTGATAGTATTTCACTGGGATTTTTCATCTATATTCATCAGAGATACTGATCTGTAGCTTTTTTATTGCATCCTTTCCTGGCTTTGGTATCAAGGTGATATCCGTTTCATAGGAGTTCAAAAGGATTCTCTACTTCTCAATCTTTTGGAACAGTTTCACTAGGATTGGCAACAGTTCTTTTTTGCATATGTGGTAGATTTCAGCTGTGAATCCATCTGGTCCTATGCCGTTTTTTTGTTGGGGGATTTTTTTAATTATTGAGTCAATCTTGCTACTCAATTTTATTTATATTTTTCAAAAAACTAACTTTTCATTCATCTTTTGTATTGGCTTTTTTGGTCTCTCATTCTTCTCTGATCTTTATTATTTCTTTTTTTATGGTAACTCTGGCTTTAGTTTGGTCTTGTTTTTCTTGTTTCTAGAGGTATGATCTTCATTGTTAATTTCTGATCCTTCTACTTTTTATACATAGGCATTTAATGTTATTAACTTTCCTTTTATGTCTGCTTTTGCTATATCCCACAGGTTTTAATATGTTTTATTTTCATTTTCACTGATTTAAAAATGTTTTAATTTCCTTGTTTATTTGTTCATTGACCCAGTGATCATTCAGGAGCAGGTTATTTAATTTCCTTATATTTATATAGTTTCTGAAGTTTCTCCTTGTATTGATTTCTATATTTCTTGCACTGTTATCTGAAAGTGATTTTGATTTTTTTAATTTGTAAAAACTTGTTTTGTGTACTAATGTGGTTTATCTAGGAGAAAGTTCCATGTGCTGATGAAAAGAATGTATATTCTGCGTTTTGAGTAAAATGCTCTATAAATTTCTGTTAAGTCATTTGAGCTAAGTCCATTTTAAGTCCAGCATTTCTTTGTTGACTTTCTGTCTTGATGATCTATCTAGTCATGTGAGTTGGGTGTTGAAGTTCCTCCTTATTATTGTGTTACTGTCTATTTCTTTCTTCAGGTCTAGTAATATTTGTTTTACAATCTAGGTGCTCCAATCTTGGGTGCACATCTATTTAGGATAGTTATGTAAACTTTTTCTTTGTCTTTTTTTTTTTTTTTTTACTGTTTTTTATTTAAAGTCTGTTTTATCTGATGTATCTGTTATCTGCTATTTGTGTCTGTTTTGGGTTGCCATTGGTGTGGAATATCTTTTTCCATCCTTTTACTTTCAGTCTATATGTGTGTTTATAGGTAAGGTGAGTTTCTTATGAATAGGTTATAGTTGGATCACGGTTTTTATCAATTCTGCAAAACTATATTTTTTACTGTAGCATTTAATCCACTTATATTCAGTGTTAATATTAAGGCTTTGTTCTTCTGACCTTGCTAATTGTTTCCTATTCGTTTTATAAATTATTTTTTCTTTCTTTTTGTCTTGGAGGTTTATTGAATTTTTGTCGTGTTGCCATTTAATTCCTACCTTTTCCTCCTTTGTATGATGGTTTTATTAGGCTTTTGTTTTATATTTCCATGTGTTTTTGTGATAGTGCATATCAACCTCTCATTTCATTTTTAAGACACCTTCGAGCATTTCCTGTAGAACCAGTCTAGTAGTCATGATTCTCTCAGCATTTGATTGTCTGGGAAACACTTTATTTCTCCTTTATTTATGAACCTTCTTCTGGCCGGACATAAAAATTCCTGGCTGATAGTTTATTTTTCTTTCAGCACTTTGAAAATGCCATCCCATTCTCTTCTGGCCTATAAAGTTTTTCCTGAGAAGTCTGCTGTTAGTCTGAGCTTCTTCTGGATATTAGCCAGTCCCTTGCCAGGCAAGCTGCTCGGAACCCTATCCTACCCTACTTTTAGGGCTTCCCATTGCTTCCATGGTGAATTCTAGCACTCACTCCTAGAAAATCTGTTCAAAATGAGGATCTGGTTACTATTCTGGTTCCTCTCCTTGGAGGAAGCACATACTACCTGCACCTAGTAAGCCATCTTGATTCTCTCTCTCAACATTTACTTGTCAAAAGGCTTTTACCGAGCTCAATTTATATACTATTACCATTATGCCTTGATAATATTGCTCAGAAATTTGAAAGTAAATATTAACAGCAATATTATATAGATTAATGTATACATTAAACTATTCACAGGAACATGAAGTGGGCATCAGGTGACTTGTCCCTAAATTTCTTAGCTTCATTAAAGGACTATCATAGAAACCCTAATACATGAATTTCTGGGCACACAAAAAAATTCAGTGATCCTTAGAAACCTCACCATTTACCAAACATCAGAATACAAAATTTTCCTCTTCCTGGAAACCCTCTAATAATTTCCTACTCATCCATGAAGATTCTTTACAAGTAAAATCTCTTGTGAAGTCTCATTACTTTTGGATCCAACAGCACCAGAAGTAAATTTCTGTAAGCACGTCAAGCAATTTATTTGGGTTCTATTTATCAGTTTGTCTCTCCCATGAGGAGAGCTCTATAAGAGACACAGCAGTCTTTATTCCTAACATGTCTGCTAAATAAAAAAGAACAAAGGTCCTGTCTACTAAGAAGTAAAATAAGACTCTCCTCTCCCCTATTCTGAAGTTATTTTGAGTAATATAGTTCAAGCTCACATATGCTTTTTTGGGAGGAGATTAAAAAAAAAAAAAAAACTTTTACAAAGCCCAGTGCTTTTTCACATACATATTGCCTTTTCTCTTTTTTAGTTTTTTGACACAGAATCTCACTGTTTTCCAGGTTAGAGTGCCATTACATTAGCCTAGCTCACAACAACCTCAAACTCCTAGGTTTAAGTGATCCTCCTGTTTCAACCTCCCAAGTACCTGACTACATGTGCCCACCACAACACCCAGCTGATTTTTTCTAATATTAGTTGAGTGAGAGTCTTGCTTTAGTTGTATCTTATTCTATTTCACCAGCTCCCAATCTACAGATTCAAAAACCTATTAGGATTTTGACCATAGAAACTTTATTACAATTTCTATATGGGATATATGTTCCTCCTACTAATGCCTTTCTTTTTCAAAAACAGAAATCCCATTTTACTCTACTTATTACTACAAAAGTAATAACCAACTACAACTACAAATGTATAAGTAGGAAGTGAAAGACCCCTGGGAAAACTTTAGATTTTTAAAACTAGAATGTAGTCAGCCTGAATATTTCACTGTATGTGTCTGTATATATAAGCATGATTTTCCCTCAATATAAATTTGTTAAACACTTCCTTTCTTAATATCTTTATATCCCTGAAGATGTACATAACTCAGTGAGTTGAGTAGCTTAAGTATATCATATATAAGAGAAGTCAGTTTTCAACTAGTTTTAAGTATTATTCTCACATATGAAGCAACCAAATCAATAAAGAATATTTAAATCTGAAATCAAAACTTGATTATATAATTACTACATTTCTGACTACTGAAATTAGTCTCATCAAAAGTCATCCAGTCTGCCATTGTCTTTGCTAATATACCAAAGAAAACAATGAGTATATACAAAAAAAATATCAGTTCCAATTTTAAGGAGTATCCACAACCTACTTCACCACATACCCATCTCAACATTTTTCAACTCTTTAAATTCCTCTCTCAAATTATCCTCATTCCCTAAACTAAAGTTATATATCTTAAATAAAACACAATCCTATCTTCATACTTTTTATAGCCTATATACTACAAAAGTAATAACCAACTACAACTACAAATGTATATGTAGGAAGTAATAGTATGGCTCTTAGTTTTCTCCATATATAACTGAACATTACTCTTTGCAGAAATCATTGATGCAAGAATGTTTGGTGATGTAGTGTACTCAGAAGGAAGTTTAAAAGAAATAATAACATGGTTTTACTTACGAGAAGTTTTGGAAGCAAGAACAGTAACTCGGGAACCTCCCAAGAAGCGAAAACCCATTACATTCACCTGATCATCATCTGACTGATTGGCAAAACCTACAAAGGAAAAAAAGAAAGAAAGAAAAAGAAAAATATGACCTTATGTGACCTGATTGTGAAATTAACACAACATCTGAAATACAAAGCTCAGCTGAATGACAAATGTTTATATACTAGTCATGTATAAACTAAAACACATTAACTTTGGTTTCCACAGCAGCTTCCTATTGCTGGAATTTCTGCCTCACAGTAACTCTATGGATCATTTAATCTCCTTTTTTCCAATGGTTTGATTCCAGATATGAACCTAGAATATCTTATTACACTAGTTAGCATAGATGCAATCACTAAACTGTAAGGCTGTAAAAAAAAGGACTCAAAAGCCAGTTTAAAAAAGATGCCACTGGGATGAGAGAAAAATAAGTATCAAAAAAGACAATAATTACAAGGGAGTAAAATACATTAAATATATTTAAATGCATGAGTTCTATGGATACTTAATAATAAAACAAAAACAAACAGTCACTACTAGAAAATCAATGCTATTTTAAACTCCATTTATTTTAAATATTTTTTAAAATTAGTAATAAAGAGAAAGAACCAAACATTTATCCTCACAATCCCATTCAAATAGCACCAAATTATCACTACTCGTTGAAAGAAAGTTTCTCTCTATAGAAACATTACAGCTAAAAATTGAATACTAGATGAAAGAAAGTTTCTCTCTATAGAAATATTACAGCCAAAAACTGAAGAAAGCCTGTAATGAACTAATGGATATCAGCCTCAAATATCAAATGCTTGTTACCAAATGCTTGTCTCTATCAAAAAAGAGACAAATATTTTGTCTGCTGAAAGTCTCTACAATAAGACCACTTATGAAAAACTCTGACCAAAATAATCAATCCTGACTCTACTAGCTCTACATATAACTGCCAATTTATATGCAACAGGGCAGACAGTTATAGAAATTTTTAATTATCATCACATGGGGTAAAGGATGTCACCAAGATGGCTACCAAAAAAAAAAAAAAAAGTAATATAGACAGTTATAGAAAAACCAAAAATGTCTCTGAGAGTTCAATTTAAGAAATTGCAATAACAAAGAAAGGATGGCTGGTTATATCAACATACCTAAGATCTCTACAGATGGCTAGGAATAAAGGAAAGAAACTTCTGGTGCCACATATGCAACAGAAACCATCATGTCCCCAGTAACCTGCTACACAGAAGATACTGGCATCTTTTGCTACTGAGGTAACCAATACCCCTTCCCATCAGGAAACTCCAGAGAGGGAAGCATGGCTGCACACACACCTCCTCAGAAGTAACTACTGTTGTGCAGCCCCAAAACCAAAGCCACCATCTGTCCCAACATACAAAAAAGCCCCAGGTCTCTAAGCCACAGCTACCTCACAAACATGAGGACAAATCACGTGGTAGGCCACAAAAAAAACTTCAAATTGTCTTGAGAAAAAAAAATGAAAACATATGGGATTCAGCAAAAGTAGTCCTAAGAAGAAAGATTATAGCAATAAATACCTCCATTAGAAAAGAAAAAGGATCTCAGATCAACAACCTTATTTTACACCTCAATGAACTGCAAAAAAAAAAAAAAAAGAAAGAAAACACTAAGCACAAAGTTAAGAAGAGGAAGGAAATAATAACCATCAGTGGAGAAATAAATGGAAACTGGAAAAACAATATAAAAGATCAATGAAAATAACAGTTGATAGAAAAGGTAAATAAAACAGAAAAACCAATAGATAGACTAAGAAGAAAAGAGAAGATTCAATAAATTAAATCAGAAATGAAAGATGAGACATTACAACTAATATTACACAAACACAAAAATCATAAGAGACTAAATGTACAATTATACTATGTATGTCAAAGTTAGGATAATTTTGAAAAAGTGGATAAATTCCCAGACACATAACAACCTACCAACACTGAGTAATGAGGAAACAGAAAATCTGAACAGACCACTAATGAGTAAGGAGATTATATAAATCATAAAAAAATTCCCTTTGAAGACAATCCTAGGACCACTGGTGAATTCTATCAAACATTTAAAGACTACCAATCCTTCATAAACTCTTCCAAAAAATCAATAAGAAAGCAATATTAGGATTTTCCTCTAAGATCCAGAACAAGACAATGATGCCAACTCCTGCCACTTTTATTGAACATAATATTGGAAGTCTTTCTTGGAGCAATAGAACAAGAAAAAAGGGATAAAAGCATTCAAATGAAAAAGAAATAAGTGAAATTGTAATTTGCTAATGGCATAATTGTACATACAGACAACCATAGAGACTGCAGCAAAGAACTGTTAGAACTGATGATACAAAGTCAATATAAAAAGTCAGTAGCATTTCTATATAATAAAAACAAACCATCTTAAAAAAGAAATCAAGAGAACAATCTCATTACAATAAACACACACACAAACACAAATACTTAGGCATAAATTTAACTAAGTAGGTGAAATACCTGTATTGAAAACTATGAGACACTAATGACAGACAGTGAACAAGACCCCCCCAAATGAAACATTAACAATGTCTCATGTTCATGGATTAAAAGAATTAATATTTTCAAAATTCCATACTACCAAAATTGATGTACAGATTCAATGCAACCCTAACAAAATACCAATTTACATAGAAATAGAAAAAATAATCCTAAAATTCATATGAAACAACCAAAAAACCTCAATAGCCCAGGAAATAATGAACAAAAGCAAGAAAGTTGGAGACATAACAATACCCACTGTCAAACTATACTATGAAACAACAGTCAATTAAAGTAGCATGGTACTGGCATAAAAACAGATTCACTGGTCAATAGAACAGAACAGACAGCCCAGAAGTAAACACACACAAGTACAGTCAATTGATTTTCTACAAAGCTGTCAAGCATACACAATGGAAAAAGGATAAGTCTTCAATAAATGGTATCGGGAAAACTGGAGATCCATATACAGAAAAATGAGATTGGACCCTTAGGAGCATCATACACAAAAAATAACTCAAAATGGATTGAAGATTTAAATGTAAGGCTTGAGACTATAAAACTACCAAAAGTAAACTTAGGATAAAAAACTATACTACAATGATCTGCACAATTTTTTAGACTTGACCCCAAAAGTATAGTCAGCAAAAGCAAAAATAGACACATGGGATTACACCAAAATAAAAAGGTTCTGAACAACAGAAGAAACACCTAACAGATTAAAGTGATAACCTATGTGTTAGAAAAGAACATTTGCAAACTGTACATCAGAAAAAGCATTAAAACCAAACTACATAAGGAACTCAAACAATATTATAGAAGGAAAATAAATAATTTGATTAAAAAATGGGCAAGCAACTGAAATAGATATTTTCAATAGAAGACATACAAGTAGTCAACACACATGAAAAAATGCTCAACATTTTTGCTAAAAAAAAATGTTGAGCATTACTAGGAAACCGTAAATTAAAACCACTATGAGATATCACCTCACACACATTAGAATGACTGTTACAAAAAGGTAAAAGATAACAAGTGTTGGCTAAGATGTGCAGACAAGGGAATGTTTGTAGGTAGGACTACTGGTAGGACTATAAATCAGTATAGCCATTGTGGAAAACTACGTGTAGGCTCCTCAAAACACTGATGATAGAGAAGACCTGGATAAAGCAGAAGACCACAGGCCCAGCACTTAGGATGAGACCAGGGGGATCCTGTTCAACTGTACCTACCACAGGACACAGGTGGAGCACATACCAATAGCCATTAGCACCCACGCCACATTGTTCCAGCAGTTAGACTACCATGGTCACTTAACAGGCCCCAAGCAGGGCAAGAGCCAGTATAGTTGCTAACTTTGGATATGGGTAGACTGCACACTGTGGACCAGGACCATCCTGCATGGGTACCCTACACACACCTTGTCCCTGCAGCATACTCAGCAGGGCAGCTACCCCATCCCAAGCATATGAGTACTGTGCCCATTGGACCTTTTCCATCCTGCTTGGGTACTCTGTCCAACAGACCCATTCTATCCCATAGCATGCTCTGCCCCAATGTACACCATGACCTGTAGACTGGCTCTATACCAAAGGCACGATATGCCCCAGGGGCTTGTTCTGTCCTATAACCTGTAGGCTCACTCCATAGTGGGGGCCCATTCCACCCAGTGGACCCACTCAACTCTATGTGCTGTGACCTGAGGGCCTGTTTGGTATCAGAAGCCCATTCCTCCTGCTTCAAACAACAGGCTAGCACTGCCCTGTGTGTCCACTATACCCTGTGTGGGCACTGCACCATGTTTTTAACTTGTTCTGCCCATATGCTTAGCACCTTGACAACCTAGGCCAATGTACATGACTTCCAGACACAGTAGGCATCTTCCTCCATGCATGCCCTTTCCCATGCCCAGACCCACTTTGGGTGTATGCCTTGCACCACTTGCTGGCCCTGCCACAGTGGCATGGTGACAACCACAGGGGAACAGAAGAAAAGCAGAAACAGTGGTAAAGTCTCACAGCATATCCACCTCTCCCCTGCCTAGTCAAGTGTCCAGAGTAGGACCTACGCACACTATCTAGTGACCCAATTCTTTGCCAATCGTCAGAGTTCCCAGCAGAGAAGAATAAATGTACCAGGTGTACTATCTATTTGGAGAGAAGAGGCCCTAAAGAAGAAGGCACCAGCATAAAAACTTCAGCACCATGGAAAAACAGACTGCATCAACACCCTGGAAGATCACATTACCATCTGATCAAATTACCATATATTCCAGCAATCCCACTTGTGGATATTTACCCACAAGATCTGCATTCCCATGTTTATTGCAATACTATTCATTGAAAAAAGAAAATGTGAAATATACACACACAATGGAATACTATTTAGCCTTAAAAAAAATTGTGTCATTTGTGACACTGATGGAACTAGACAATATTATACTAAGTAATACAAACCAGACACAGAGAGGCAAATATTGTATGTTTTCTCTTGTATGTGGAACCTAAAACAATCAAGAAATCAGAGAGCACAATGATGGT